AATATTATACATATATATGCAAGTGTTTTATCCTTGTAGGAGGATATAGACAATAAACTCATTTATTCTGATAATGGAATACCTAAAAATTCATTTTTTGGGTACTAAAACACACATTTGACTTGCATATTCAGTGAACTACAATATCCTGTTGACTTTTTGAACACATCTCTAAACTGAATTAATGCGAGAGCAGTGTAAGCCAGTCATCGAATATTTTATGAGGGCAGTAAAAAGGAAGCCATTTCATGAAAATCATCATATTCACTGTGGCTTGGAAAACGTAAAATGTAGAATCAGTGTAAAAGCCTGCATAAGAGATGTAGGATGAGAAAAACCTTGACACATTTTCCAAACACCATTAAGTAGAGGAAGGCCAGCAGTCACCAGGGAGAGCTGCATGTCGGATCCTTCAGCAAACCCAACAGTCCCGAGAGACAGACTGACTGAATTAGGTTGTGATAATGCTGAGGATAGTTTCTTGTTGTTTTAAGCAAAGACTGAATATGCTCAGCGGGGGATTGTAAAGTATAGATGGGTGTGAACTCTGTGGGGTTTTCAATTTGATTTGTATTTAACCCTCTGAACCCCAAAACCCTCCAGAGGGTTTGAAAGTAAAGTTGTAAGAAAAAAAAAATTACAAATCTGCAAAAATCACTCAATTTATTAGAACCAGAAACTGTTGGATCTGTGATGTGGAGTTTTTTCAAAAAACTTAAAAGCTTAATATTGTGACATATGAATATATTGTCTTCTCAAACCAGATTCTGTCAAAAGCTAATAATTCTGCGCTCCACCTGACCCACAACATTCCCCTAACCATAACCAAAGTGCTGTCTTAAACCCAAACTCACTCTGCAATGTTTATACTTCATAAATGTTTGTCTCTGAACATATTTCAGGACGCCATTATATTGCCACCACAAACTGGGGACAAATCCAGGTGCTTTTAACGTGTTGGTGTTGTGCTTGGACTTCAAATCAGACAGAATTACTCGTCTGCATTTATTTAATATTTGCTAATGTGTTTTAGGCAGTCGGACATCCACAGAAAGATGTCTGTTAGGATGAATTTCATGCTGAGCCACACTGATCTGAACTGAAACTAAAGTTAAAATAAACATTTCTGTGTATGAATGAAATGTCGCTCTCAAAAATACTTTGGCACTTCTTCATAACAACTATTGCCAAGTGGGTTGGCTCTGTGCATGCTTGATGCATATGCAATTATAGACATGCTCCCTAGAATTTTTCCAAAGAATTCCATCACTGCTGGAAATCTCTGACTGAAGATAAGTAAGAGGAGCTCAGATAAAGACAACAGCAACAAAATGACATTATTTTTCTGACATTAAAGTCTCTATCAGAGGGTTAATCTATTCTAATTTCATCTATGATGTGTTAAAAAAGTTCAAATAGCTGAATGTGATTTGTGTTTTGCCATCAAACCAAAGATCAGCTTCTTCAAGCAGAGTGCGATGCCTCGATTTAAGCAATATCTTGCCCTCTTTGCTGCAACTGTGCTGCAGAATGTGTTCCAGCATGACGGTCTGTCTCCTCTGAACTCTGCGTCACCCTATTATCAGATAGTGGGGCTCTCATCAAGCGCTGTCATGCTCAGTGTAGCATCTGCAGCCCTAAGGTATGAGCGTGCCTTGCCTCAGCTAATTCAGTCGAAGCGTGGGAAGCAGGAAGAAGATGGCGCATAGCTTGAAAAAGTTGCTCTGTATTCTTGTTTTAATGATATTTCAGATAAAAAGCTGCATCAGGTAATGTTTTATAAATGCACTCAGACCTCATCAATAGCAACAAAGTTGTCTAAGATGGATGAGGCGGAAGGGTTTGACTTCTACTCCCTCTTGCGCCTCTGCGTTTGGAAAGCCAAGTGATAGATTGCTGCTCAGGGTCATTTTCTGGACTGGACAGTTATTGTGTTTTCAAAGAGGTTTGTTTTTGATCCCTGGTGCTCCCCTCTGCCCCTCATTCATACACGCATCACCCCCCTGATGTAATTTTGTTTGTTAGACAGTGTAATCAAATGAAATGTAAGTACTCTCCAACAAACAACAGCGATTGTTTGTGGCCATTGTGTTTAGCCATCTAGCATGCACTTGAACAGCGAGCATTTTTTATGTTGTTTTGAACATTCGGAGAATTTGCGTCATATATTTGTGTTTGTCAGAGTGTTACTTTTTACACAAATATATATAAATGACTAAGTATTATTCAAACAAGTGGCTGTCCATCCTGTCTGTCCAAGGGTGCAACAACTCTTTAGTATTCAAGTTAACTTACGTAAAAAGATAAACATTGCATCATTTTCACATATTGAAAACATCCCCAGGCAGATGTGAAACACTTTGCTCCATAACTTTATCGAGTTTGAAGAAACTAAAGGAAACCCAGGAGGTTGCTCTGGCTCTCTCAGCTGCTGTTGCACCTCCTAAATCAGATGTGCAACAATAGCGATAAAAGCACCAGATGTTTTTCTAGAACACAGAGCTAGTGGGGCGAAACAACACGTGTTTCAGACGACCTTGACAGGTCTGAAGTCACAGTGGACTGAACGAGCTAAGTGGGAGCCCTGAGCTGTACAGTTCTGGCTGGCTATCATAACAGCAGAATATACAAGCCTAATTAGCCCCACACCTCAAAGCCCATTAGTTCCACTCCAGCTGCCACCAAATGCCTGATGAGATTCCCATTGTCCTGCATACAAAGCATCCAAGCAGACATACTGTATGTGACAAATCTGCACATTACTTTTGCATGAGAGCTTTACAAACACACCGGATCTTGTCTTATCTTTAGACATTCTTTCATGTTGTATGGTGTTCTTTTCGAGTGCTGCAAGCAGTGTATGTTTACTCTAGGGAGAGCCTTGTTTCAACTTCAGCTGTGGGGCATTTGATGTTGTTATGTCTAAAAAAAATATATGCAGATACAATATGAATCAAAACTGAAAGCTTTCACATCTGTGCTGCCAGGCTTGAAAATTGTTCAATATTTGAAGAAGGCTAGAAGAGAAAACAGTTTGATATAAAGGTCATCGAGAAGTCTTTTACTCTCAAAAGGGAACTCATGATATTTTGTTGATACGAGGTGATGAAGTTGACATAATTTTAACACGGTGTATTTGAATCTGCAACTGACATGCCGACGTCAGACAACTTAACAACTATGTAGCGGCTGCTGTGTGTGTTGTTAGGACCTGGAAATGCGGTCAGCCAGGTCGAGAACCCATTTTTTTCTGTCTCTCTCTGATCTCTCTCTCACCCTCTCTCTGATCCTCTCCATTTCGTCATCCATCCTGCAGGACTCAAACGAGAATGTCGTTTGGTTAATCATTGTTCCTGCTTGGCGCTAAGTTGCAGAAAGTGGTGCAGGCTGGCCGGTCGTGTTAGAAAATGAGTCTCTGTAGGTGTATGTGGGACGAGAGAGATAAGTGAGTGAAGGAGGGAAACCCTTTTAAAAAAAAAAGCCACACATGGCGTAACATTTATGCCAAAAGGAGGAGCATGTTCTCACCCACATGTGTGTCAGCCTCTCCACTACACTCGGACACGCGCCAAAGCGTCATACAATCACAGAATGATGTCTGACCTCTTTCTCTGGTAAGAACTAACCTGAGACACTTCCACTGCTGATGTTTGGTATTGCAGAGCTTACTTCTCGGTGTAGTGTGATTGACACGGTGTGGTTGTTGTTTTGTACATGTCAATCATATCAGTTTAACGTGAAGTTGTGTTTGGCAGACATTGAACGTCTCTAACGAGTCCCTGCAGTGGGACTGGAATGTTTGAGCGACAACCAACATATTTGTTTGTTTTAAGGTTATTATGTTGCTGTAAAATCAGTGCATAACAACAACAACAACAGTGATGGAAACAGGATTATGACAACAGCATGTCTGATGGTGTTAAAGGCTGCGATCTGAGCTGGACCGGTCCTGAACCGATGTAGACAAGAGCAGCTCTGGTCCCTCAGGCGCCCACAGCAATCAGTCAGTCTGTACTACAGCTAATGCTAACTGGATCCAGGGGTTATTACACTGAACAGGCCATTTAGAAAGCACTTTGGTTTAGATATTATCAAGTCTGACTTCCAGTAGAGATTTGTTAAATGTAGGGCAGACATTTGGATTGTGACTGGAACCTCCCAGCTGCTGTTTCACCCCAGATTTTAGAAGCTTGTTGACATTTTCAGTCAAAGCGTGGACTGAAAAAGTGGCCATTTAAATTCAGTCTGTCCCGACCTCATACATTACATGCTGTCCATCTGTCATGAAACATTGTGCTCTTATCACTTGAACAAATACCTGCCACCAGTAAACAAAAGAAATTCTTAACGCATCAACATGAACCCGTCCTCCTACCCACCACGAGACTAGAACAGAATGGAATTTGAAACGTTTTAGCCAAAAATGTTTCCATGGTCAAGGTGTTTTTTGCAGAAACGTTTCAGATTTCGTTCCGTTCTCCGGCTTCAGCCAAATCTGTTGGGAGTTTTCGGCAATCGATACGCAGGTGAGTGACCTCTGGCACACGCTCGACCAAACACTGACTGGCTTTAACACTGAGATGGACAGCAGCCAACTGTGAGTCACTGAGTAAGTGCAGCTCTGCTGAGCTGTAGCTGTCTCACAGATGGGGACAAACAGCAATTCTTGGAGGTTTTCGACCTTGTGCTTGATGTTCTGGACAGTCTAGTTACCGGTAGCGTCAGAGGAACACCTTGTTTTCAAGGGCTATGAGGATAGAAGTGGGACTGATCAGCCTCACAGTAGATGTCATTACTTCTAGCTAAGCCATACAAAGCTCTTTATTTTACTTCTTCTTTTGTATAATTTCTAAATTTTACGTAATTGTAGGGTGATAGATATGACCCAGCCTTTTCCTATGTTGGGCGTCCTCTTGTTTTGTACGGCCAAGCTGAGCTGAGTCAATAAGCAATGTGTTTGCAATGAGCTTTAATGAATTGTGTATCTCTGTGTCATCCAGGCTGTGTGGCGAGTGTAGATAAGCACCCTTATGAGGTGAAAACCCTTCCCTGCCCTGCAGTATCCCCTCCCAGCACCAACAGCAGGACTAAGGGATGTCACGGCTGTTCCTCTTTCTGGCAATGCTTATTGTCTCCTGCAGCATCCAGGTGGGTTAAAAGAGCACACACACACACACACACACACACACACACACATAAATGCATAGTATGCATACCTTTCCTGGAGCTTAAAAGCCTCCAAGCAAGATATCTGTGACCCTCCATTAGTCAGTGGTCTTCACAGTAAGGTTGCTGTTTCTTTAGTTCTGTTGAAACAAGCCAGTGAGAAGCCCAAATACATTGCAGAGAAGCTCTAGCCACCCCCATACTGACACATGATGTAGTGGGACACAGCTTCATCTTGATGGATTATATCTCCAGCATGAGTACGGATTGTTTACAGCTCCTGTATATGTGAAGTCAAGTGAAATGAATCCCAATTTGTCAAATGGCTTCCGTGAAGTTTACATTGTCAACATTTTTCTTGTTTGTTCTACATCAGTGTTGTTGAACTGTTCTCTGTGTTCCTCATCTATCCTGTCAGGTGTCTCCTACTGCTACCCTGGATAAGCTGAAGGAAAGTTGGAAGCTGTACATGGAAGAGTGTGAACGCAACAACAGCAGGGATCCACCAAACACCGGTGAGCCAAACATACTGGATATATTGGCTGTCAAGTCAGTTATTTTGGTTAAACAAAAGAGATTTTTGGCCATTTTGAAGAAGTGTAAATAAAAATGGTAAATGGTCTGCACTTATATAGCGCTTTTCTACCTTTGCGGCACTCAAAGCGCTTCACAATGTTTTCTCATTCACCCATTCACACACACATTCATACACCAATGGCGACAGAGCTGCCATGCAAGGTGCTGCCTGCCATTGGGAGCAACTTCGTCTTGCCCAAGGACACTTGGACTGTGGAGGGCGTGGGGATTGAACCGCCAACCTTACGATCAGAGGACAGCCCGCTCTACCACCTGAGCCACAGCCACAAACTATAAACATATCTTTTATACAGCTGAGTTGCTCATCTACACATCCACTTGAGCCTGAGAACAATTCATTTTATTAGATTTCTTCCCACCCTATGAGTGTAAAGCCTAATTATTGTGATAACGACCCCATAATCAGTGATTTCAGCCTTTGCATTTCTACTGTGGTGCTGGATCACACAGCTTTGACGGTGAGGTTAACTCAGAGCGCATTAAAACAACAACAAAGAGTAGGTACTGGATGTAACTCCAGTTCTATTTACACGTATGAAATTAGGAGGGAACTATGGAGGGTTTGCCATGTCAGCCCAAATGGGGAATTTACCGAAGTTGATTGCGACATTTCTGAATTTAACTAGTTAGTTAATAAGTTGAACCTCCGAGTTTAACCAGCTGTATTGTAGCCAAGATGGCAGTTTTTCAGCCTTCTCAGAAGTACCTACTCTGGAGTACATGCTTTTTGTTTCTTGCCTGAAAATGGCCCTAAAATAGGACAGTTGAGCAAACATCTTGGACAAGCCCCCAGTTTGTTACATCCCAGCTCACTATAGGTAAAGGAAGTGGATGCTATTGATGTTGTTGTTTATTAAAAGGTAGGCAAACACAACAACAAAGATTCCCAAGAAAAAAAAAAAAAGAAGAAAACCAAGGGCGTAGGATGTTACTCAAACCAAAGCAAAAAAATATAACAAAAGGAGAACTTCTTCCAGAAGTTATAAACACCTACCCATTATGTTTTAACAAAATAAAAGCTCCAAAGTCAAATCCTGTCTTACCCTGCCTGTGCTATCCAAAACAAAAAAATACAGAAAGGAGTAGCATCCCTGTCGCAACACTTTTTGGAAACATTAAGTGGCTTCATGAAGCGGCCTGATTGGAGGTCAGCACTGCATTGCTGCTCCGTCCAGATGTTGAGGTGACTGAGACATAGGCAGGACAACGTTAGCACTAGTTCATGGCAGGGACTCGCACAAAGAAATTGGCAAACAAAATGTGAAGAGGTAAATCCCCCCAAAAGTGAGAAGGAGCACAATCACCCAGTGCAGTGTCACTATGAGTCCCTGAACAGAAGAGAGAAACAGGGAGTCTGATTTTAGGGATTACGGTGAGCAATATTTGAAGAAAGTATTTCAAATAAGTGTTGGTCATAAACTTACATTGATTATGCCCCTGCCCTGTCATCTCTGTCACTGAACCCTGTCACACATATGATCTATTGTTACTGTAGAACCTTACACTTTAAATAAATGGCATCATCACCTAGGATTATAGATAGTAAAGTTGGAATTTGAACATAAACCATGATTATAAATGATTAATAATAACATTCCTGAGAACGGTAACTGTAGAAGCGTTCTTCTTTGCACACACATTACAAATAAAAATGAGCATTGACTGTCACCTTGTGGCTCAGTGGCAGTTGTCCAGAGCTGGTAATAGTTTGGTCACCAGACAATGGAGCAGAAGCAGTTTCCACTCGCTGCTCAGACCACTGCGTAACCCCTCTGCCTGCAGCTGCTCCCTGTACAAGTGTTATATTTGCTGCACCGCTCTCACTGTCTGCTCAGTGAAAAGTGGTTCCTGCTCACTCCATCAATAAAATGTGTAACTATGTGGTTAATGTTGCTCTTCAGTTGCATTACATCTGTTAGCATGTTCCACACTAGTGTGATAAAGCAGGAGAGCGCTGTTGCTCCAACTTTCAAAAAAGCTGCTTTCCATACTGCATTCAAAATCACAGCCCTCTGTTCTCTCACTCCATGGCTCTGACGTATCTTTCCGCATTAGTGTAGGAGCAAATTAGTAGATGTAAAGAACATGAGATGCAACATTTTATACACCTGACCATCCAGCTTTTTCATACAGTCAGTAGACTGTTCATCCTCTGATGATCAAAGATGTGGTGTAAATGGAAGGTCATTGCAAGGGACTCTGAAGTAAAGATAAAAGACCATGATTATGACCAATTCCATAATGGCTACCAGCTGGCGTCACTTCAAAGACATGCTACTGCATTGTGTGACTTAGTGAGACTAGTATACAAGAGCTATGATTGTACACAACAATCTCACCCATATCTCATGTTTTTTGTTTTTAACCCCAGGCCTTGTCTGCAACAGGACTTTTGACAATTATGCCTGCTGGCCTGACGGGCTTCCCAACAGCACTGTCAGTGTGGCGTGCCCATGGTATTTGCCATGGCACCATGAAGGTAAGAGACATCTGAGTTTCCAGATTCACAATGTGTTGCAGTCATGTTGATGCAAGACAACTTAAAATATCTTGCAGACTGGACTTAGAGTGGACCCAGTAAATGACAGAGACTGTGTGTGTGTGTTTGTAGTTCAGCATGGCATGGTGTATCAGGAGTGTGATGCAAACGGCCAGTGGATGACTGTGAAGAACACCAGCGAGTGTGATTCTCATGATCTAGGTCAGGTAAGAAACGTCTTTTTGCATTGTTCTTCCGCGAGGGCACTAGAAGTAGCTAAGAGAAACAAACGAGAACCAATATTTGGTCTGCATGATCATCTGGTGATCACTTATTACATTTAGCTTTTTTTTTATAGCATGTTTTATACAACTTAAAAAACTGTACAAGTAGGAATAGCATCATTCAAATAAAGCACAAAAAAGAAAAAAAAAGAAATTAGATTTGATGTTTTGTGGAGAGGCATTGTCACTTTACAGATTTTCCCTAAATTATTGTAATAAAATACCCTCAGTACATTAATAGACCTGCAGTGAAATAGTTTTATTTTACAGATTTGACTGAATAACCACTGTCATATATCATCTTTTTGTGCAGATAAAAGAAAAAAAAAAATCTAACATATATGTGTTCACTTGTGCTATACTTTGCAGCAGTATTATGGCCATATCCGGATCATGTACACGGTGGGCTATTCTTTATCCTTGGTGGCTTTGGTCTTGGCTCTTGGCATCCTCATATTTTTCAGGTAATAGTTATTTTCAATCAAATAAGCTATCAGAATTGGAACAAAGTGTGAGGAAACAATCATAGCTGACAGGTTCAGAAGGCAGAAATTGTCATACAGAATTTATGTACAAAACGTTATTGCTGTTTATCTAATCATGGATTATGGTGCAAAAAGCAAAGATGACCTTGTAGACCAATGTTGCCTCTCATTCATCAGGAAACTGCACTGCATGAGGAACAACATCCACATGAATCTGTTTGCCTCCTTCATCCTGCGAGCACTGTCCATTCTCATCAAAGACGCTCTTATGGAGGCCAACCACACATCACAAGACCTCAGCAGCGACCAGGACCAGGGATTCCCTCGTGCCTCTATTCCTCCTGTGGAGCTGCTGGTCAACAATGAGGTCAGTAGTGATCTGCAGCTCAACAGCAAACCACACCGGCCAGTGTTCTACGGGGGTCATTAAGGAAGTGCACACAGATCATTAGAAGTGGAAGGTAGTCTGGCTTTTATAGTTCAATTCTTAAAAGTCCAAAATTACACCTTTTATCAGAGCATGATGCTTAAAAATATAGACTCATTGGATTTGCAACTTTCCATTAGTCCTTGAACTACTCATCTGTAATGTGCAGTTCTGTTGGGATAATAACAAAATCTAAGCATAGAGTGGTGACATTTTACTAAAATCATTTTATTCCACATGCACATTTAAAATTTTGAACCAGTTTATCCGAACAGATTCTGTAAACAAACTGAGTTGTGACCATGGTTGTTCTGTTTCCATACAGAGACAAACTCTGTATTTGCAGTGAAAAACGAATCCATAGTAAGAAAAAACGAGACCCAGAAACTGCTCAAGGTTCAGAGGGTCAATGAGAAGAAAGGAAACAAATCGTCCTCATTGATGGTTCTGGTGTTTTCAGTAGCACATTATCCTGTTTCTGTTTAGTTTAGTTATCCCATCAAACTAAACGCTTGCCAAACAAGACAAAACTAGAAAGTCTGTATCGTATTATTTAAGAGATTCAAAAGTACAAAGATCAAAGTACTTATTGTGCTGACTGGATGATGCAGTCATGATGTTGGTGTACCCTATAAACATGTACAAATCATACAATATAAAGACATAAAACTACATTAGATCTATTAAAGATTGCACAGAAATATGGCCAGGACAATTGTTTCCACAGTTATGATTTGTATAATAAAACAAAATATAAGTAGACAGTTAAAGTGAAAGTACTTGTATAGAAAATAGTCTCTGTAATCTGAAAGGGTAATAGATAATTGTAGGAGCTAATAATCCCATTTTGCTTTTATATAATCTGATCGTTTTTGGCATAAAAACGTCAGAAAATGCTGCGGTGGCAAAGATCTCACCATTTACATCAGCTAAATAATGTTTAACATCACACAGCTTTATAACAAGCCTGATCGCTGTCTTGCAGACAACAGTCGGCTGCCGCGTTGCCGTGGTGATGATGCAGTACAGCATCATGGCCAACAGCTACTGGCTGCTGGTGGAAGGCATATACCTCCACAACCTCCTGGTTATCACCGTGTTTACAGAGAGGAACTACTTCAACATCTACCTGTGCATTGGTTGGGGTGAGCTGGGCTGTTGTGTGTCTGTGAGTGTGTGTGAAGTAATAAGTCAGGGGACACAAGTTATTACGTGCTATATGATGCTTTTTTTATGACACAAAATTAAGTCAGAGCTGATAAACGGCTGTAACGCTGGTGTGACTTATTTTGGACTTAGACAGCTCTGGTTTTTTCACAGGTGCCCCTTTAATATTCCTGGTGCCATGGGTGATAGCTAAATACCTGTATGAAAATCAAGAGTAAGTTCCTACAGTCCTTCTCTCTCTCCTTTCCTCTTTCTGTTACTCCTGATTATGCTATGAATGTGCTGTGAAAACATTTAACTTATTCATGTTGACAGCAGGGTTACATGTAAAAAAAAAAAGCTGTCAGACAATTTGGCTGCAAATAACCTTTTCACACAGACGTATTTTAGTGTCTCCAGGATGAGGTGTTTGCACCTTCTGCATATTTCATGTTAACATCCAATACGCGGATTTTCTGCTGTGCAGTCTCTTAAACTCTCATGGGCATCTACAGCAAATGGGTTGAAATGGATTTTAAGGTCACATGATGCAAATGCACAGGTACCCACATTGGTGTGTTGTGCATCTGCCCTGGTCAGCCAGGGAGAGGAAAGCTTTTCAAAATGCATTATGCTTGTCCAGAAGCATGTGAGGTGTCCAGCATATGTTTCTGCTTGACTGATATCTCCTTCAATGTTTTTTTTTTTTTTTTCAGGTGCTGGGGGCAAAATATCAACATGAATTACTGGTGGATAATCCGTTCCCCAATACTGCTAGCTGTTGTGGTAATTTCCTCTTCCTCTCTTGTGCTATTTCTGACCTGCAATTCACATAATTTCTGAAACATTCTTTAAAACATTGTATTGTTATTGCATTGAAAATTTAGCGGCCAAAAAGGGTCTTCACCCTGAAGTCCCACGTGTGTAACTGGCAATCTTGCATTTCCACTTCATTTCAGCATGTTTTCCTACAATCACACACTATACAGTATTAAACACACTTCATTTATTCATGAAATGTAAAAGGCTGGCAGTGCATCAGACCTAACTACGGTGAAGCTTGTTGAGACTCAAAGGTTTTTGTATTAAATAAATATGATTTTGCTCGGTGACCTGTTCAGCAGTTTAGTTTAGCTACCCTCTATTCATCCTGTGGCCAGGGGTGTTATTTAAGGTGAGCTTCACAAAGGTCAGTTCTGTGCATTGAGGCTTGATTTGTCATGGCTCATATGCGAAGCCCGACATCCTGGCATTTTCCATGTATTAATCGTCCTGCTAAGTGGCCTGTATCCCGCAGGAATTCCTGTGTTTGAGTTGTTTTAGGAATGGAAGGGCTGGTCCTCATCTCAATGTTCCCTTCTTTGTCTTAATCCCAACGTTTTCTAGCTGTACATCAGCGTAGAAAACAGCACTCAGTTATATACATGTTTATATGTGTACATGAAGCTTTGTGCATGTGTGACTGTCCCTGCCAGAACATATGCGAGTTGAAAAATTACATCATTCAAGTTCATGCAAATATGAAATGACGCATAGCCACATATAAACTGTACACATTGCAGTGTATGTATATAGAAGTGTGATTTTATATGCATCTGGGCTTTAGTCGACTTACATTAATACTGCATGCACTGTATTCTACTAATCCTACAAATACATTATTTATCATGACCACGGTTGACATTCCTCTATTTAATAAAACAAGTTAGAAAGAAAAATAGTTTATCTGTCCTGAAAGAGGAAATCCTTTTCCACAGTGGGCATACACATAACACAAACAAGTAATACATACACACTTCTACAGAGCTGGCCCAAACCCAAGTTTTACAGGGACACTTCAGTTTAGGGGCTACACAACAAAGAAGAAAACATGGGCTGACAGTACACCCCACAGGCCGGATTATTTTCTAGTTTAAGAGGGGGGTTACTTATTTAAAGCTCGTATGGCTGTGGGAACAAAGCTCATGTTAAATAGGGCGTTTCTGCACCGCCTGGACCTATGGCTCGGAGGAAGGAGGGTAAAGTGCTGGTAGAGTGGGTGGTCTGGGTCATGTGTGGTTAGGAGTGCTTTGGAGATTAGTGATGTGGTGACACAGTCACACTCTGATATCCTGGAGGTGAGAATACAGATGAGTTTTCTGACTAAATGAATTATCTTTACCAGCATGTTCTTACTATTCTTCTTCTTAATATTATTAATGCAAGTTGATTTTAAACATTTGATAAATAGGCACATTTGAACACTTCCTACATGCTGGGTTCATGTTCAGTTTAAAATGTACAGTTTGTTCTTTCCTACCAGGATCTTGCTGTTAATGTTCCTTCCAGTCCATAAAACATACACAGTGGTTATATGTACAGATTAGGTGCAGCTCACATTCATCCTCCAAGAACCTGCAAATGACCCATAACAACCTAATTGTAAACATAAAAGGTCACATCATAAGTGGTTTTCATCAGGAGAACACATGCTGTTGCGTGAAATGCCAGCTGCTGTGAAAGGGGTTTTGCTAATAACAATATGCTTCTGTTCCTAATAATGTTGAATGGATGGTTCACACTTATAACTGGTATAGTGCTGAAGTGTTCATTTTTCTGGCCCTCTGTGTATTCGTATCCAAATGCAGTTTTTCAGTACTTTGAGCAGCACAAACCCAAGTTCATACTTTCACTGAACTGTTCTGCCAGCACACGCTTTATGATGGTATCTTCAGATTACTATAAGTAAATGTGTTCAATAAGAACTATTAACAAAGACACTTCTTTCTCTGTTTCTCACAGATCAACTTTCTTATCTTTATCCATATCATCAAAATTCTTGTGTCAAAACTTCGAGCGCACCAAATGAGATACACAGACTACAAGTTCAGGTGAGTCCTTTAAGGGTTGACATTAGTTTCTTGTTTAGTTTCACTCTACTTAAGTCTGTGCTTTCTGTCTTTATCTCAGGTTGGCGAAGTCAACTCTGACCCTGATCCCACTGCTGGGTATCCATCAGGTGGTCTTTATCTTTGTGACAGACGAGTCCACCAAGGCCACCATTGGTTTGCGTCTTACCAAGCTCTTCATCGATCTCTTCTTCTCCTCCTTCCAGGTTTGACTATGAAAAAAGATGCTGGGTCCTGAACCAAAGCATCTATTCATTATTATTTTCCCAAACAAAGAGGACACCGATGTGAGAACTGAGAAAGATACTGTAGGGGTTCGAGAGGAAAAAATACTTTTATAGGATAAAACAGGAGGTTTTAGATTTGGCATTTGTTCTCAAAGTTCAGTTAATGTACTCTTAAGATCTCATACTCAAATCCATATCTTTAATTTCATGTTTTGCTAAATTAATAGCAAGTTATTCCTTCATCTTCTCTCATCCCCTGCATGTCTCAGTTTGCCTTCTGAGAAGTGCTGTGTTTACTTATGTGTCAGAGGGGATTACGTTAACAAAACGTACTGTTCGCACTGCTAAACGATTGTATCACACTGAGATAATGACATTGACCTTTAAGGTTTGGGGATGCAGATGACAGATGAGCAACACAGACAAACAGAGAGAGGAAGATGCAAAGACAATCCTAAAGCCAACAATGACAAGTGCAGCTGTGGGATCCTAAGGCAGATGTTTCTCATATGCACATGTGGTAATTTAGTTAGAAAGCAACAGCTCCCCACTGTGCTGCAGTGCATCCGATGTGCACACAAACATACGTCGCATCTGAGTCATGTTTTTATATTTTACAACACTTTGTTCTCAGATGTTATTATTGTTTGGTGTCATGAGTAAATGCAGGAATTCATTCAGTGTTGGTTTTCTCCACAGGGTCTGCTGGTGGCCATCTTGTACTGCTTTGTCAACAAAGAAGTAAGTTCCCTCATTTGCACAACATAACACATCTTTCTCTTGTCACCACATTCACAGTGTCTGCTTCCATCTTGCTCCTCAGGTGCAGTCTGAGATCATGAAGAAGTGGAAGCGTTGGAAGCTGGGGAGGAACATCGAGGAGGAGTATCGTCACACCTACAGCAATACCCCCAACACAAAGACAGCGAGCTTGTCGAACCACGTCTCTCGACTGCCTCACCTTCCGGACATCGCCAAAACCTCTGCCCCAGTCTGTAGCCCCGAAGAGAGGCAAATGCTTGTGGCCGACTGCCATAACGGCGTGGTGCACAGTAAAGGGGCAGGCAAGCGCGCCTCCCCACTGCACAAGGGAACCATCAGCAACTGCACTCTGGTGGGGGATATCAGCAGCACGGACAAGATGCAGTGTTACGAGGCACAGAGAGAGAACATGGAGAGCCACCTGTGACAGGCTCCAGCATGACAAAGAAAGTTGGATGGCTTTGCGTTCTCGTCTGGCTCTGACAGACTGCCCCTGCTGGCTGAGGCGCTGCGCTGATAGAGTCACTTGTCTGAGCAGTCCTCGGAGATTAGCCTCACTGGGAGACAGAGCAGCACTCAGCTCTCGCCACAGCTTGAGGAAGGAGAACAATATGGCAGACATTTGCACCGAGGTGTCTAATGTGCTGTGAGTCTCGTGAATGGGTTTCTCTCGATATTTGTCAGACAGTATAATAAGCTGTTGCATGTCAGACAATTCAGAAATGGCGTCTCAAGGCAGAAAAGCCATGTAAGATAATCCAAAAAAAAAAAAAAAACCTGAAACCTCAAACAAAAAACAGCAACAACAACAGGATGCAGGGTCCTTGCTTGAACCTCTGTTTTAATTTGTGCTGTCTGTCAAAGATGTGTTTTTGTGGTACTGGAGGTTAAATGCAAACTGGACATTGAACTGTGTACACAAAAGAGACCAAACAAATGAAACAAAACAGGGAGGCAGAGGGGAGTGCTTTTTTTTATATGCTTTGCTCTTATAACTGTAAATTGTTTTTAGTCTTTTGTTGAACATGTAAAAAGAAAATGAAGAAACTTTCTGTTGCTTGTACCTCACACAGACCACAGTGTTGTTCAAGCGGCCCCGTCCAGGGCTCATGGGAAATTGGCAGCTGCTCTCCCCCAGGTCCTTCCTGGCTCACATACAGATGATAAAAGAGGTCAAGTGATGGTATGGGACAAACTATAAATAAGCTAAAATGATCATCGGTTAACTTTCTTATGTGTTTTCAATAAAAATACATCTTTTTTTTTTTTTTTAATATATATTTGGGTCAAACCTTTAACACTACTGAGTTCAGTTGTAACCGTTTAAGTGTGCCAGGTGTGTTTTCAAGGGTCATAGATGAATTTCTGGGCCACTAAATGTGTTGCCTTTACCCCCCCCCCCCCCCCTTGCCATTAAGATGTTGCTTATGACACCCTGTACACAACTTGTACACCCACTCAGTCCCGAAAGCTCATAGGAAAAACAGTGCACTTAAACCTAGGATAAAAATATACAAAATGCAGACACGACCTGCAAAGCCACACATGCATAAAGTATGAAGTCAGCGTCATCACTCACAATGACACGTCACCTCCGGCACAAGGGTGTTTCTGGAATGTTACATGGAAGCAGTCATGCATGGAAATTGCACAGATGTGGTGGACTTATTGTTTGAACCACTTGGCAAGGATGTGTGCCGCACAGTGCCGTCACTTCAATGTATAAAAAAAGAAAGAAAAAAAAAAGTCCCACTGTGCTAATGACTGCATGTTTAATGGCGGTGTTTAATATGCAAATTTACCTTGAGTCTACAGTGGCTGTGGACACTTTGAACAAAACTCTGTACTCTAAAAGCAGAACAAAATTTCTCTCATAAGCTTTCCAATGACAAACAAAACTAAACCGTCAGTGGTGCATTTGCTTATGAATACATTAAGTTGCTAAAACATTTTCCCAAAACTACCTAAACTTGACTTTGTATGTATGACTATTTGCACAATGTGAATTTATAATTGGTAAAAACTGTGTGTGTGTGTGTGTATATATGTGTTTCTAGAAGTGATTTTATTTGATTGCTGTCAATATATTTCATGCATGTCTGTGAGGGGGCGTGTGTATGTACAAGTATATTTTCAGGGTATGAATGTGTGTAGTTTCAGATTTGTGGACGTGTTGCAGTAGGATGAATTTTTTGGCTGTAGCCGGAGGAGCGATGGGTTGATATAAACCAGCGCAACTGGCTTCACACAGAGGTCAGAGGTCATTATGAGCCAGTCCCAGTCTAGCGTATACAGTTTTTCACCACAGGACATTCCCAGATGTCTATACATGGCATAAGGAAGACACAGCTTTTTGCTTTATCTTCAGTGTGATTCCTCAATGTCATTTTGTAGCTCAGAGCAAATTAGAGCACAGCAGTGAAATGATTGTCATTGAGGTAATAGCTCTGTACAATTGCACATCCCCCAGTTGCAGCTGTTCAGTCAATGAGGAAAAAAAAATTGCAGGCCAAGACTGTTTTTCATCAACATCTGCTGAGGACTGTAATGGAACTGGTAAATATCCAATACTTTGATCTAAGCTGGGACACACTCGTGCTGCTGCACCCCAGAAGTGACTTTGCAGTGTTTTGTCTTTATTAGCAGAGAGTGATAACTCACACAGTGATAGAGAAATGTTGTACACATCCAGTAAACTGATGATTCAGGAGAGGAAAGTATATTGCTAATTTTATTTCAAACTTATGCCTGTATTTTAAACTGTGAGAATAACCATGTATGTATTTGAAGCCAGCAGCTTGGGTCACTCCCATTCCTGGACCAAAGTGGTTCTGCCTGAATGTATTCTTTGAAAGGCCTAAATCAGTATGTTCCTTTATATTTTCTCTTAAAGGTGGTTATATAGAGTATATGTGGTGTAAAGAACCAATCAGTAAAAGCTGACTGTATTCAGGTGTATACAGTTGATCATATATTGTGTTGGCTTTGTGCAAATGGTGAAAGAATAAATTCAATATATGTGAAAGATCATTTTAACTTGCTGTAGCTTTTGGGTTGGTGAACATTCATGATGTTGAAATACAAAGGAGGAAGCATGTGCAGATCCACTTTCTTGGCTTGCTGTGGATCTTATTAGCTGCTGCGTCCTGCTGGCTGGACTCACTGAATGGACAGTAACCTATAAGAGGTGAGTATTGACTCAGTCCTCATTGCTAGCTGCTGCTTGATGGCACTCTAGAATAGAATAGAATAGAATCTTTATTGCCATTATAACAAGTACAACATAAATAAAAAGTGCCAAACCAACAATGCAACATTCATGTCAAAATGAAACAAAGACTATAAAAACTGTAAATGAGTAATTAAAAAATAAACATATATCTAAATAAATAGTAATTACAGACATGCAAACACACACCCATACATCCATCTATCTCTTAATTGCATGATCCCTTAATGCGCTTAGCAGCATGTATTATGTTTTATTGAGTGTGGCTATTGCTGTGGGGTAGAAGCTGTTTCTGAATCTACTTATCCTTGTTCTGAGTGAGCTGAACTTCTGCAACAGTTTAAACAGGGTGTGAAGTGTCCTTTATAATGTTCTGGGCTTTTTTGAGACAGTAGTGACTCTGCAGTGTGAGGAGAGAGCAGCCAACGATCTTCTGGGCCGTGTTGATGACCCTCTGGAGCACTTTCCTCACTGTTCCTTATTGTGGCTAAGACACAGGATAGTTCATCTTACACTGATTATAAAAACTGCTATTTTAGCTCACCAGTGACTCTTCTTTTCAGTATCCTGCTTCAGAACAGCTTCAGGAACCACCTACCCCTAGACATCCTCAGCATCAAAGCTGTAACTTCTGAAACTGTCAGCCCAACATTGACACTTACTTCAGTGTTAAACAGAGCGGAAGCAGAAAGGAGCGCCCAGGTTTGAACTTGTCTTTCCTGCTTACTTTTAATGTATATGTAGTGGGAGCATCTGTCTGGAAAGTTTGGTATTTCCAGATGGCCCTTGAACACACCATCAGATGTAGGTCAGCTCCTCCCATTGCCCAGCCCCTGATTGAGGGTATTTAAGGCACCTGTGGCATCATGGCTGCCCTTTTGTCTCTGGTTGAGTGCCACATGGGCTGCTGGTGACTCTGAGGTAGGTGTGTTGGTGGGATTGTGGACAGGGTTTTGACTGCTTTCAAGCCGTAATTCATTTTCATGATAGTGACATTCATTTGTTTGACAGTCTTCCCTGCGTACTGGTGTCTGATGGTTGAGGTTTATGCCAAGCTTGCCTGCCTTGGCTTAATGTGGACGTTGCTGATTTCCCTAGTATCCGTATAACAAAGACCGTTACATCAAGGTAGGAATAGTCTACTCAGTAGTTAAGAAGGGTGACTGTTAAAAGGTAGTTGTTATAACCATGTTATAATCATGTTATAAACCTGTTGTTAACATGTAATGTCTTTTGTTGTTTTGTAGGGTGTTATCAGCTGCTGTTTTGCCTTGGTTTGCTCTTGGTTGCCTCTGTTTTGTCCTTGCCTGTTTTAGTTTGGCTATGTTAGCCTAGTGGTCGCATTTTAGAGTGAACGAACTGGTTTTTATGACAATTTCCATAAGCTGGTGGACCAGGTTGCCGGCTGGTGGTGGAGGTTGGACATTGTGTGGCTTTCTTTCACAGCTTGTAGTGGTAAGAGCAATGGGGCACCTTATCTCACACCGGTGTGGTAGTCCTGACAGATTGCTGTGCGCCTATGAGTGGTTGGTGGTTTGTTTCACCTCTGGATATTTAAGTAATTGACCACCTCTCTCCCCCCGCTGGCTTCCATCCACTTTGCTCTCCTTCCAGGTTCATTTTATTCTGGAAGCGTCCTTTGTTTTAAAATACTTTTATTGTTAAACAGAATTATATTAATTAAAAAAATATCTTTGTACATTTCAATGGTTTGATTTGTTTTTGTACTGGCTTTTAGGTTGCTTCTCCCGCAGGTACTCCAGAAATCTAGTACTAATCAACCATTCCACCAAATAATCAATAAACTGCAATTTCTTTGGATTTGAACCACGTCTCTGTCTTCTCTTCGCAAACGAACTTGTGTGACCTTTGTGACCTGTGTGACTAATTGTGGTACTTCACATTTAACTTGTAGTTCCTGGGGTGAGAGTCCCCAGGTGGCGTTGTCGGGCTCTCTAGATACTGGTACAGCTCACGTATTACTCTCTCCTACGCCCCACTCCCCCCCCCCTGGTCTAACCCCGCCACATATACAACCAAGTGAAGCACGATTAATACATTTCCAGAGAGAAATGTGCTATTATACCCATTTTTAAAGAATATCCCATCTTCCCCTTCTCTTTAGTTTTTCATACCACCTCTGACTTTAGCTGCTGAAGAAAACAAGTGAACGCTCTCTTCCTGAAGAGGTTGGAGAAATTGTTCTGTTGTGTGATTACTGTTTACATAAAGGAGGAGAAATCAGACTATACGGACAGACAAGGCCTGGATGATGTACTGTTGTTTCAGAACAAAACAAATTAAAGTTGTGTAATGTCTTGAAGTGTGAAGCAGATGTTGCACTTAGTATAAGAAAGAAAGTAATGATGAAGTAACAATGTGACATTACCAACAACATAACAGCAAGCAAGTTATTTCAAGAGAGGACAAACTCTTAGTTGGACACAATAGGAATTGGTGGTAATTTTTTTCCCCCCATAATTACATTAATTGCATCAGATTTAATGAAATGACTATTAATCACAATTTTACAAACCTGTCAAAGCAAGATCAGTTAAATCACCAAGTTAGGTAGCTAATGCACATGCTCTGAATGCCTGAAAGACCCTGAAAAACATGGTAGAACATTTTTTTTTATAATAGTACATCCATTTCAAAATATGAGTAGTTTGTGGAAGACATCCACTGACGGCTATCAGGAGTGAAGAAAAGTACACAGTGTGACTTGCTATGATATCATGATCCATCCTGTCTCCATGTTGGGGATAAGCTCTTATTGTAACTCAATAATAAACTACTGCTGTTGTTTTGTGCATGAATGCAGTCAACTCTGTTGCTTTGGAGATGCCAACTCAGCCTGATCCACTCTCCACATCAGGGCTAATTTATAATTACAAGAATGTAATGAAGTCAACAGTGCTGTTGTGCCACTTGCACAAATGTGCCCAACTTCCTGGTTTTGCAGATGCTTATTTGGAGCCTTCTGCTGTTTGATGCTACAGCTATTTAATAAACTCAGAAGAAATACTTCCTCAGGCATCTTCAGCTCCTGTTAGCATTTTGTGGGGAAAAATGGGTTTACATTATTATTGGTGAGTGTGATTCATCTCAGCTGTTAGTGTCTGTCTTCATCGCAGTAAAGTCTTATAGGGGTATCAGTTTGTGGTCTAACAGATTTGAAGTTGTAGAGCAAAGTGAGTGAGGAAGGTGTGTTGTGATTTTCGGCGTGCAAACTGTCTTTTGCTCTCTGCAGTGTTTTTGGCTGAATCCTGGTGCTTGGATGTGTTTAAAAAGTCTTCTCTGAATCACTTCACAGAACTCGAAGTAGCTTTGCTTGTGTGTGTGTGTCCGTTAATGTGAGTAAAAGCAGTTCAGACTTGTGCTCTGATGAAATGTTCCGAGGTCTGACCTAGTAAGATTGCCAGTATGACTTTACAGGAAAGTGAGCAGGGTCCGCATTCAGAGATGAAAGAAACGTGTTTAGTTGCCATCAGACTAACAGAAATGAGTGCATGTCTGAAAGAGGCCGACGATATTCAACCCTGACATTAAACATAATCCTCAGAGCTGGTGTATATATTTGAAATTAATAGCACGCCTTTGTTTGCCAATTAACATCCTTTGGGTATAAGAAAAATGTGATGTGGTGGATAAAGCATCTTTTCCTCCCTCATGCACAGGAAGTAAATATATGGGGGAGATGGCCATGGGATGTTGTGTTTGTGTTTTCTGCCTGAGGCCCGGGGAACTGGGCTTGTGTCCTGATGGAGACAAACAGATTACGTGTGATTGGACCATAAAGCCAGTGAGTTATTTTCCACTCTTAGCCCCCTGACAGGCATTTGTGGCTCTCGTGCTATCATCACTTTCCAGGTCCCTCAGTGTGGCACATCTGGAGAGGCAGAGTGCACTGACAGTGTGCATTTGTGAATGAATATTTAGAATTTACATATCTTACCGAGTCTGCGGCTTAAATTCTGTATGTCTGAAAGCAGAGACATGTGCTTTGGTCTGTAAGAAATTATTACAGCACAGGGAGCTAGGTAGGTAATAAGTTTTATCCATGTATGGTAATACCAGGGCCGTCATACTCTTATTGTAAGGCTAAAGGGGTGAAAAAAAAGATAATAATTCTGTAATATATCTGAAGCAGGGACTGTGTCTTGTTATTTCAAAGCTGCATAGTCGGAAAATAGTGAATTCATCAAGAAAGCTTTTAAAATATATATAAATATGACACAGCACAAACATGAGGCAATGTTGTTAACACGAAAATACAGACGGGTTTTCCCAAAGTGAATATTTCTTTTATTGCTCTCCCTGTTTTGTCAGTCTTATTCATTTTTTCTGTCTCTGTGTTTCTCTTCTAATGTGTATGTTTGTCCAAAAGAGAAACAAGTAAAGATTGAAATTGAACCCAACAGAATATTTCTTTATTTTTGCAATTTGTTGACAACTATAAATAGGCTCAAGGCTTTTCTAATCTGCTGCTTGCTCTCTTTAGCTATTGTTATCGCTGCAAACTCTTCAGAGCCATAAATTATACGTGTGTTTTATTGCCGTATAAATCCTCTAACTAGACAGCTCCTATTTGTCATGCTGCTCCACCCACACTGAGTGAGCCGGCATGGGCACTGCCAGTCTCACAAGTGCTCTTCTAAACAAAAATAGGCAGTTTGAAAAACTGGACTTTTTTTTGGCATTGACTAATTTATCACTTTCGTGGTCAACAGTGTGCATACCCAGACATGACGAATACACAAGTTGCTCAGTCATAACGCGTTATAGCTGTTATGCCTGAAAACAA